GCACCACAGCCACCCTGTCCCTGTGTGTTTTAAAGAGGACAAGTCCTGTTGAGGGACCTTCCTCATCAGGGAAGCAAATTCCAGGCTCTGAACCATGAGTGAAGCTCCCAGAGAGGTCACAGAGCTAAATCCGAAGTAAAGACAGAGATTTCCCAGTGACTGGCCTTAGGCAAACAGGTCTCCAAACTGCTCTCCGGAGTCATCGCGCTCCCACTGCTCAGGTCGTCTTGAACAAGAATCAGTTTGATGGCCCTCTTTTAGCAGGGAAATAATAATTTTCAGAATTCAGGTTTCCAGTAGAAAAAGCTGCCAATTTTAAGTAAACCACTGATAAACAAAATTAGACTGAAGAAATTATTCAGTTTTACTGAACAGATGTCTAGCCTATTTGCAATTAATACAAGCCCCTTCCATACAGTCAGACTGCTCAAAAGTGTCTGGAAAAACATTTAGAAGCTGAAATGCAAATGTGTCTGCTCTTACTGAGAAAGAATAGAAGTTGTATAAAAATGCCCCATATTTATATGAAAGATCCGCTTAAAATCTAGGCATCGGTATAAACTTATATAATTAATTTATCTAAAAATTCTCAAGATAACAACATGAAAATAAGAAATCAGCATTTCTGAAATGAGCTTTGTTTTCTCAGAAACAATTCCATTTTTCAAATCAAAATTGTTATACATATCATTATGCTTTAGGAAGGGCTCGAAACGCATTTCATTACTTGTAAAAACATTTACATGGCGTTCTTAATTTCTACAGATGTCCTTTTATTTAACTTTGCAACCAGTGGGCAGATTCAGATCTTTAAAGCCCAACTAGCTACTGGATGACGAGGAGGGCATGGAAACTTATTCTCGAATGGGACAGGCTACCTATGTGACCCTGAGCAAGTCGCATTCGTCAACTGAAACACGGGACTAATGTGGCAGGGCTGTTTTGTTCAATGGTTTTGATATCTAAATTAATTACACACAAGAATTAAAAGCTTCACACTGAAAAACCATCCCGAATTTTGATAAGGGAAACAAGATATGTGCAATAATTATACATGATAACCACAGTGTGAAGATGCTATATTAGAAATGATAACGTGCATTTAGGAATATAACTCATCAGTGAAACCAAGCAAAAGTCCAGGCATTTTTCAGTAAATCAAATCAGCCCATGCTTTCTTAACATACAAGATGAGGTTTATCTATTTACAACTCCTGGCATTTGACCAACCAAATCTAACAAATACCTTAAGGAGTCCTCAGTTCCCTCTGCTGCTGCTGGAAATTAATTTTGCATAGCATTGTTATCAAAGCTGGTATAATTCTATGTTTAGTCTTTTTTATGCATTGTGCGATTAAAAGATTAATTGAAAAAATCACTAGTGAAGATTGGGATTAAACTGCACCTTGAAATGTCATGATAAACTGCTTTTAAAATCAGTTGAGGATTTCACACGGCTCTGAAAGGTTTCAATTATTTATGTGTTTGGTCCGTGTAGCATAAATCCAAACTAATGAGGTACAATTGCTGTGTATAAATCCAAAACATAAAAAAAACCTTATTGTCTGGAGGAAGCAGTAGCCTCAAAGACTAGAGATAACAACCTTTCAGATATAGTACTTTCCTTCCTTCTTTTTTTCCTTTTTTTTTTTTTTTTCCTTTTTTTTTTTTTTTTCCTTTTTTTTTTTTTTTTCCTTTTTTTTTTTTTTTTCCTTTTTTTTTTTTTTTTCCTTTTTTTTTTTTTTTTCCTTTTTTTTTTTTTTTTTTCTTTTTTTTTTTTTTTTTTTTTGCTTAAAGCTTTCAACTTACGTGAAGGATGTATCCTGGTAAGGGAGAGCAAAGCTAAACACAAAGTTTATTAGCCAGGAAAGTTAGACTAGGAGACTCAATGCTACTGGCAACTCTTCATCTCGAAACATTCAAGGACTGCAGCCTGCAGAAGTCCCACCACTACCACAAGGTACATAAATCCATTTCTAGGTGCACGTGAGGCTCTACACATCAGTTTGGGGCCAAAACTTTCCATATCAGCCTTTTTTTTTTTTACCCTTAATCAGCTAACCTGAATTTACAACAATCTCACAGTCACACCTTTCTCCTCCATCTCCTCCCAAGAATTTTCACCTCTTTTCACCTTCTAACTGCACACTGCTTCCCGATGTCTTTGCTGACCAACATGTGTTTTTCTGTCAAGCTGAATTATTGTGTTTAAAGATGCCTGGATATCTTAATATAACAACAGCACCTCTACCTTGAAGTTGAGATACAAAGTTAAGCAGTAGCGTGTGGACAGGCAGAGGGCTAAAAGGGCTGAGATGCCACTTAACTAACTATAGCAGACAATCAGTACGGTGGCAAAATCTTTTTTTAAATGCAATCCCAGCGTTATTTGGATCCTTCAGTACGAGGACAAACTGGAAGCGGCTCCCAGTCGAGCTTGGGATAAGGTCGGCGCGTGGAATCCCGCGAGCTGGAGCGGCTCCTGCTCCTGGGGAAGCAGCTCCTGACGCTGCCCAGGCGGCAGCACCTTCCCCTCACTGATGTGGGGCTGAAAGCAGCAAAAGCTTCTGGAGCAGCCGGGGCCAGATGGAAAGTGCCATATTGGCAACATCAACTGAGACAGATGGGGAAGAGGGAAAACCTGCCTAAAAGAAAAAAATGACAAACCCATCACATAATCATTTACAAAAATACTTTAAAAACAATCTTTCTGATCTCTGATCCAAGGAAAACGTGCCTAGCACTGGCTCAATACAGGGCTACTCTCTTGTAGCAGCAGCACGGCCCTTGATTTAGAGGAACCCTAACGGGGAATTCAACAGGTTATTATTGACCATGAAGGTGGCCACTTCTGCAGTCAAGGCCACTCCAATCCACTTTGTTCCTGACCAGCCAGAGCCAAGATAATTTACAGATTACAGAATATCTCCTAACTGTGCTTGAACCCTGAAATGCGTAAATACCTTCAGACCCCCCGAATTAATCAGGACTGATAGGCAATTAACATATGCAAAGAGAGGCTCCAACCGAATGGAAATGGCTTCAGAGGAGCAAAGTGAAGACAGACAGGACTCACTGTGCAGAGAAACAGTTAAACAGAGAGACAGCGCAAGAGCAAACGCAGAAGCTCCTACGACTTAGAGCTTCTTAAGGCAGCACTGATGAATCCAATTCTTTTACAGAATATATTGTTCCACTTGGTGAATCCAACCATTGCAGATTAAATGTTTTAATGCGAGTGAAAGCCAGCTGTTTATTCTAACCTCTGACTCGGTTAATCTCTTGAAAACTTGGGGCTGTTCAAAAGAAAGTTAATAATGGGATATTAGACAGTTGATGAATTGCAACTAAATATAATCACAGACAGACTTACTATAGAGAAATGAACAGAAACATCCACAAATATAGAAGAAATCTGTCCATAATGGGGTTTTGAAGTCAAACTATAAAAATACTATTAAATCTAAGGAGTGATCCTACAATTGATTTACATTGACTCAGTAATTCTATTTGGATGAAATATCCAATTTTTAGTTTCTTCCAAGCAAATAGTATGCTTGGAAACAAGAAATATACTCACATGAGTGTTACACCCAAGTCTTCTGCAATAGTTTATGTGAACAAGGAAATTACTGGGGTTTTACTTAAAATTTGCCAAAATATGGGCCTTCTGTCCTTATCTCATCAGAGAAATAGCAGTTTAAGACCACATCTGAGTGCCATGCTACTACAGTTCACCATTCTCCACTTCAACAGGTTTCTGTTTAAGAGTAAAAACTTTTAACTCTCTTCTGCTATAAGCACAACAGCTGTCTGTGAAAATTAATATGAACGATAGGTTCTTCTGGAATAAAACCTTGCTTGGTCAGGCAGAAATAAGTTTAATGTGTTGCACTTGTTTATCTACAATCCAGTTTTTACTCCTCGTTTACTTCAAAGGCAGATTCTTGACTTCATCATAAAGCAGAAGCTCACTGACCCAAGAGCAATATAAAGAAATTTAAATGATATCGGTTTGCTTTTTCTTACCCATCTCTCATCACTTTTTTTCTTCTTAATTATCATGATTAACACTGACTCACTGACAAGAATGCTAAAAAACACTGAATATTTGAGTTTGGGTGCGCCCATATTTCTACTCTCACATTCAACAAGAAGTGGTAGTATATTCTTTCTTTAAAAGTGATAATCCCTTTTATCTTCCATTTCCCTTTTCAAAATGCAAAGCCTCAAAGTAAAAACAACTACCCCCCTAAAACCAAACTTAATAAAGAAGTCAGGGCTTAATCCATTCCAAGCAAATCAGCAAACTCAACTTCCTTTGACTTCAGTGTCGCAGGATTAAGTATTTAATTGAGCAAAAATTTTCAGTGACACATTTGGCTGCTGCTTATCAAAAGCATAAAAACTCAATTACAACTATTTATACAGCCTCAAAAAGTCATTTTATGCTCATCTTCAATACAATGAACATTTTTTACTGCAATTTTGTCATTAGGCATACAAACTTTACAAACTTGTCCCAGAGTTTCCAATTCATAAAACAATCCTGAAATGCAAAACTAGAAGGCTGCTCGACAGAGTTAGGCATACAAACTTTACAAACTTGTCTCAGAGTTTCCAATTTATAAAACAATCCTGAAATGCAACTCTGTCAAGCAGCCTTCTACTTTTGCAGCAGCCCTGCCCACTTAAGGGCTTTCAAATATATTTTCTTTCTTACAAATTGGAACAAAGATCCTGCAGCGCCGTGACAAATGAAATACTGTGCATTTCTGGAGAAAAAAAAAAAAGTCCTCCTAATGTGCATTTTAGGAACAGTAACTCAGTCCATTCAGAAATCTGTCTCAAGAGGTTAAATGATCCATCTTACCAGGAGCATCGCAGAGGTTCCATTCGGCCTGGACAACTGGATAGACATTTCGGGAAACATCCTGTCAATGCGACTGATCACATCATCTACGTACCTACCAAAGCAAGGAAAAACCCAGGGTTACATCCACACTGCTACAATCAGATTATTATTAGTCAATAAGAGTTTGTTACGATCTCCTAATGTGTCTTCCTCAGTATCAGAGTCCACAGGACTTCACTGAATTCATTCCTCTTCGACACTGCAACCAATGGCTCGCGTATTGCAACCTGCTTTTGAACATACAGAAGTGCCCCCAGAGTCACCAAACCCATGGATTAGACACATGCACATCCCAGAACATAACATGGCTCACTTGATTCATCCAAATCACTGAACACTTTTGGGGAAAATGGAACTGAAGCCACTTCATTACAGAATGAACAATCTAATCAGAAATTAAAAACAAGCAAGGGCATTTGTCACAAACCAACCTGCCCAACTCTGACTTGTCAGGGTTCCTTAAATAAATCAGTTCTGATGACACTTGTTAAAAAATAAAAATCAGGTATTAGGCTCCAATGGCTATTGTGCAAGGCATTAAAAAATACCACCACAAAGTCAAGAAATACCTACTTAAGCAAACACTAGCCAGTACATTTTCAAAGTAACAAGAGAATGGAATTAGTTCTGACCATTCATCACAAAAATCTTCATCTTCTAGATGCAAGGGAAAAAAAAGAAAGAAAAAAGTTCTCTAATTCATTTGAAGGACTCCTTAACAGCTTGCTTGCAGATGGCCAAAGTCAAAACAACCATAAGCCAAGAACTCCTTAGCATGGTGGCAGAGGATACACGTAAGAGTGCTTCACAATGAGGAATCTGCACATCCAGAGTGTGCACTTAAGTCATTTTAGACATTTCTGTATCCAATGCACATTTTTATGCCACATGAGAGAGTTAGGATTGTTTCTTAAATGCGGTTATGCCAGGCTCAGCAAACAAATTCAGCTGTCACTTGTGTGTGAGCAGAGACCACTGCCTGAGGAGAGGGCAATGAGAGGATCTGTATTTGTTGATTAGCATACAGTTAGGAATGTATATTATAGCTTTGGACATCACGATGCAAATGGCTGCATAACTTAAATACTTGAATTTTCCAAGTTTTGGGTGATAACAAAACCAAACAAAGTACCAAGTTGCAGTCATAAAATGAGGGCTGCCTGCACAATGACACAGTCTACGTTGCATTATGAAAGGAAATTTGAAGTAATTTTAAATCATATAAAGATCAGTCGAAGGTAGGCATTTAATCTGCTTAGGTAATTTGAAATATCCTAGTGGACATTTATATTTATCTTTTGGTCAAAAGTAATGTTTTAAGGAATAGTTAAAGATCTGATTGTTTTTAAATCTAACAAATTGTCTTTATTGTGTGCCTTGAAACTTGACTCACTCAATGCTTGTCTTGTAAAGACAAAAGTCCTGATATTTCTTTCAGGAATGACTGGTATAAGGCAGAACAGAAACTTCGACATCTGTGAAAAGTCTGCGTTTTGAATAAGTCAAGCATGCAGCCAGCCAAGAGGTTAAAAAGTTAATTGATACAGAACACAAATCTTCTCAATACTCATTTGTTTGTCCTAACCAGCTTTTCTAAAGACTTTACAGATGAATTACTAAGACACTTTGGGTTTAGAAAGCTGTTAATTGTGCAGTGCTCTTTGCAGAGCCAGTAGACACCCAAAGAAACATTTTGGGATGTTTTTCTTTGGCAAGGCACAGCAAGTCCCAGGACCGTCCACGCAGGTAACCTTTTCCTCCCACTGTCAGTCAAAGGGTTGACAGAAAAACCAAGACCAATATATTAAAACAACACAGATGCACATCTCACTGTTTTGCCCCTTTGCCTTTTCCTAAAGCAGATGTCAGGGTTTCCTGAGGACTCATCAGAACAGACGGATTCTGCAAAGATGCACACATAATTACTAAATTAGCCTGACTACATGACGGCCTCAAATATGAGATGACAAACAACCTAATCTGAGGCAAAATTCTTCTACAGAGATGCCCTTCAGAGAGGACATCTGGTAAAACATCTTGTGAAGAGACAGATATGATAAGTCAGACACAGCAAAGTAATGTAAAAAGTGTAACTGGTGATGGGTTTAGAGAAAACTGATGAATATGTGACAAAGACACAACGAAATGCACTCCCGAGGCTGTCTGGAAAGAGGGTCACTGAAAAAGCTGCTGTCTAGAAATTTTGCAAAACCAAAATAACATGGATTTAGGGTCAAAATAAGCAGAAACACAACTTACACACCTCCATACCTCCATAAATCAGTTATGACTTCCAAATATCCTGGCTCTGATTCATGTCACAGAACTTCCCGTACAGTCTCACATGGCACTTGCAGTGCTTCTTTTTCAGAAGATTTCCAGTGTACTTAGCTCAGCTCAGTTTTCTCCTACTTACAAACGAGCATTTCTAAATACAAAGAAAATAACGCAGAGCAAGGAAAAGCAAATGGAAATACGGTGCTTGAAACATGAGGCAACTCTTCATTGTAAGAAAAATCAAATAAATAAAAAAAGGCATGGGGGTCTCAGCATGAAACACAAGCTGGCATTATTCAGTAGCAGCTTCCCCTTGCCCTCAAACAGGAATTACTCCACATATGAAAGGCTGAATAATCTGAACGTTTGCCCTTCCTATAGCTTGTCTCTCATGCAAAGGATGCTCGGAAAGGCCTGAAACAGCAGCAG